TCGCTTTAGCGTGGGTGAATTAATTTCGACCATGCTATGCAGCATGCGGCGTCTATCCACCTCATAACTTTATTACCCGTCTTCCACGCAAACCCATCCTCTACTTTCCGTGTGTTCTAGACTACATTCTCAGAGGAAACTTGCGCAAAAGGAGAGCATTTGAGGAAGGAGGCCTTTGAGCGCTTTGTGGAAGCCTCACGAAAATTGTTCGCACTACCTCCAGAAATAATCTCCGCCACAGAATCCGCGAACGATTCACAATCCACACTTGAGCAACCGGCCTCACAAAATCAGGTCGAAACTGAAGAAGTATGTTGACTTTGTTGCTGTTAGTAGCATCTCATCCATGCCTTTATTGGGATTTTACGGACAAATTCCAACTTTTTCTTAGTGGTGAAGATAGTGGAAGCAGTGTACCTCTCCATGTTTGGGACGGATCAGGAATGCAGTTAAAATTTGTTTCTTTACTTCTGCTTTTAGGAGAAGGAATTACGGAGGAAGTTGGCGTTGCAGCGAAAAATTGAATGGGAGAGTCAAAAACTCAAGGCAACTCCCCCAAAGAAACGCTGCCTTTTTTGACTGTGATTATCCTCCTTTTATGTTTGTACATACTTTTTTCGTATTGAAAGTGCGTCAATTCGTGCTTCTGGTCTCTTGCTTTTGCCATATACATGAAGCCGGAATTAGTCATTTCAATGACATGCTTATTGGAGGACCTGAATGCGGTAATCCTTTGGTATTTCGTCGTCACTATATGCCCGATCGCAAAAGTAGACCCGCCTGAGGCGGCAGTTGGCGTTTATTCTCACTCGAGTAACTTCCAGAAGTCTTTGTTTATAACAGTATTCCATGAGTCGATTCAGGTCAAATACCACAGTATTCCAACCAGGATGAAGAAAGAGAGGCATTTTTGTGCAAAACTGGCGTATAAGCGTGTTTTTCGTGAAATTACTCGCCCGAAATCGTCTGTGGAATCCAGAGAAATCCACTGTCTCGATCTCAAAAGAGAAGAATCTATTCATGTTTTTGAAGAGGACAACAAAGATGGGCATTCGGATGCCGAGTGAATCTCGTGGGTCGGGCGGGGTCTCAATGTAGGTCGTAGTGACATTAGTTCCGCGTATGTCCAAAACAAGTGAGCGTATGGCCGGGTCCGTCAGACGCTTTATGTTTCCCGCCTTAGCCTCGGTTTTCCAATTTAGGAGCGGTTTCTGGCCAACTGAGAAGAATATAGAAAGAAGGCCGCATTGATAGGCCGTTCTATACATGCTTGCTTGGCGGGGCGCGGATCAGCACCGCCGGTCGCGTTAAATCGATTCGTTGTTTGAACTGCATCATGTGCAAGTAACGTGGAGGTCGATAGGCTTTGTTTTGCGCGTGACCGAGGATGCCAGCGCTTCAGTCATTATTGAGTTGTATTGTGCAGATTTCGTGCCCTCCCTGAATTCACTTCATCCAGGATCTGACGATCTCCAGACTGCCCATATCGCGACCATCGGGACGTCTTCCTCGTCCTGATTTTAACTTGTTCCAAACCGTACTGGGTGTTCATGACCACATACGCATTTCCATATTGACTGTCCTACAGTAAGTCCCTCATCAGGAAAGAGCCGTACCGTGACCTTCAGGACCCCTGGATAAGTATGGACTGTGAGGCAAATATTCCCACGATCAATCTGGTAAACTCAAGCTATGGGTACTTAAGTGACAGGCGGCTAGATGAGGCATTACTTTCCTGGCGCCTATGAGAACTTAAAAAGGGCTAAGCGGCCACCGGTTGATAAACCAAAACTCAAAAAATGCTCCTACCGTTCCTATGGCTAGAGGTGTCACAGTCAAAGGCAAATTCACAAGTCAGTTCTCCCTGGGAGCCATGTTTCAACTGTTCAGGTCATGTCATTTTTTGCTCGTCGAATTTACAATCGGCATCGAGGGTGAAGGCGTGCTCATCGGAGACACTTGACTACGGTGCATGTCGTAAGAATGAGCTAATGTGCACTGCACGTTGGTGTTAATGAACGAGGAGGCGGAGGAAGAGGGAGGCGTATCAGAGAACTCGATTTGAAACCGCTACTCCGCTTTCCTCCTTCCTTCTGCTACGCCGCACAGCATACACGGTTTCAGCCAGTCCCCGACACCTAATCCTCCGGTGAAAGCATCCCGCTTCACATACTAATTTAGTCTGATGAGCAACCGTCGTCGGTAACCTGAAAATTTATGAGTACAGCCCTCTCTTAAATATTCCGCTGCGTACGGCACTGCTCCCCTGCGGAATATGAATGAAGTAAAAGTCACCGGTGATGG